GGTCCACTGATACTATTTTTCCTCTTCTTTCTAGATGGGCAGTGATGATAGCAAATATAAGCATGAGAAGAAGTTTTTAAACTACGGACTCTAAAACCCAGCAAGGCAGGCACCTGCAGCCCCCATTGCTCTAACAGGTACAGAACCAACCCAGGGAAACACCTTCCATTGTCATCTACCGTGCTGAAGAGCTCCACTGGGCATGGGGGGTCTAGGGCGTGGGACCAGATGTGGAGCCAACTTCTATGGACCGTCCCATCCGAACACAGGAAAATCAAATCAGAGTTGAAGAAGCCATCTGAATAAAGGTCTCTTTCCCAGGCCACAGAATGTGGTTCAAGTACTTCCCCTTATCCTTGGTTTTGCTTTTTGCAGTTTTAGTTACCAACGGTCAGCCGCGGTCCAGAAGCCCATGCTCCTCCCTCTGATGTACGGTCAGAAGTCAGTAGTAGCCTAACGCTCCATCGCCGTGCCCACGTCATTCATCCCACATCATCTCATCACACAGACATTCTATCATCTCACATCATCACAAGAAGGGTGAGTACAGTACAATAAGATTTTGAAAGAGAGAGACCACAGTCACATAACTTTTATTATAGTATACTGTTATTGTTGTTCTATTTACTATTGGGTATTGGTCATCTCTTACTGGGTCTAACTCGTAAATTGAACTCTATCGTAGGTGAAACACAGTATGTATACGATTCAATACTACTGTCTGTGGTGTCAGCCATCCACTAGGGGTATCCCCTAGAATAAGGGGGGACTACTATACTTTCTGAATACCCAATATGGTGAACATCTTTTATGACTGTCAGGAATTATGACGCAAACCTCAGAGCAGTTAGGGTTCTTTGGCCATGCACAAAAGAAACAGAAACTGGACGAATTCAACTGAAATAGGTAAGTATTAAAAGGAAATTGGAGTCCTTGCAGACTCAAGGTGAAGGTTGAAGTTCCAGGCTGGGAAAGGGTAAGCAGACAGCCCTGCCCCTGGAAAGGACATCCGAGCACGTTTCCATCCTACCATCCTCCCAGAAGAAACAGTACAAAGGGCCTGGCCTGGGTCTCACAACTGCACTTGGCCCAGGGAGGTCTCGGCAGGCACTGGGACTTTCAGCCCCACCAAGACTAAACACAGAAGGGAGAAGAAATTGTCCCAAAGTTCTCAGGTGTTCAAAGCTTTGTGTTCAAGAAAATGACAAGTATCTGCTAACAGTGGGAGGGATTTAATCAGCTGGAGGTCATTTACTTAACTCTAAGATTCTAAATTTAAATCTCCAATTATGCTATTTTCATCTAAATGTGGAAGTATAGAAACCCCCGTTTTACCATTACCAAGTACAAGCATTGCCAAGATCAAGACCCCAGCACTCAGGACACCAGAAACCTCCCTGACTGTATCCATAAGACCTCAAGATTCAGAAAATTTGACTCACAGTGGTTGAAGTCACTAAGGTCCCCCACTAATTTGTGTTATTGGGGTCACTAAGGTGACCCCAATAACACAAATTCCAGGACCAGGAACTCAGGCACAGGCTCAGAGCTGAGCAATGCCATCAAGGACCCAGGGCTATTCTGCCCACGAGGCCATCCTCAGCAAATGGACTTTCAACTGTCATTGCTTGTTCTCCAAGACTGCAGAGTAAATGCCTTGGTGTTATGAGTTGAGCTGTATCCCCCAATTTTTCGTATGTTGAAGTCCTAACCCCCGGGGCCTCAGAATGTGATTTTCTTTGGAAATAGAGTCGTCGCAGATGTAATCAGTTAAGGGGAGCTCATTAGGGTGGGCTCTAATCCAAGAGGACTGGCTCTCTTCTAAAAAGGGGAAATTTGGACACAGAGACACAGATGCAAGAAAGACAATATGAAGACACAGGAGAAGGTGGCCATCTACCAACCAAGGACAATGGCCTGGAACAGACCCTTCCCTCACAGCCTCAAGAAGGAACTAACCCCTCTGACACCCGATTTGGGACTTCCAGCCTACAGGACCGTGAGATACTAAATGTCCGTCCGTTATGTAAGCCGGCACCCTGTGGCACTTTGCTAGCCCGAGCAAATGCACACACTCCGTCTCAGGCTTTGTGTCTGCCTTCGAAGCAGGAAGAAACAGCACCAACAGAGTGGACACAACAGGGATTACTCCTTTGATCAGAAAGGCCAGGACTTTCCCCAACATCTGAACGCTTCTGTCCCTGTGACTGGCCCTATGCCACATGGAAAGAGAAGCCTGTGGGGAAGGGCATGTGGCTTGCTGGCCAGCCAGCAGGGTCAAAGAGCTAAGGCAGATGCCCTCGGCCTTCTAAAAAGGCTGCTCTGTGCTCTCTGGGGAGTGCAGCCCTGCTATTCAAGGCAGGGCTGAGGAGCACGTAAGTAGAGACTTTCACAGAACAAGCTTATCCAGTTCCTAGAACTCGGGGTCCCTCCTTTCCCCAGCATATCCTGCTCAGTTCTCCCATTCATAAAATCAGGTCAGCCTGCCAACGAGTCAGCACTGGAAACTCACTGTCGGGCTGTGGTCAAGACACAGGAAACAAACAACCCCAAAGAAGGCTGGCTTCCAGGACCCAAACACAATGCCACTAACCCAACAGCAGCCAACCTGGGCAGGACACCTCCTGCACCATCCCCAGTGCAGGGCCAGGATAGGACCTGGGACACCTGATGTGCAGGCCCTACTCCCTGATGGGAGCCTCTTTGTCCTCCACCCCCTAAAGCCCCAGCAGTGTTGTTGCACTGGCCAGCCAGGCAAGGAGGGAAGAATGCAGTCTTGCTGGCTTCTGCTGCTGCCGTGACCGGGTGCCACTGGGTGACAACGTCCTTTATCAGCTAAGGACCCAGAGCACCTGCCAGATGTTCACTGTCCCAAATGTCCACCACTTGGGCCCACTCGGGGGTCTATAGTTGCTATTTTATCTAACTTTTCATGCACTCGTGGACCTATCCTCTGTCTGTGCCCAGCACATTCTAGGCAGTGGAAGTATGTACCCCAGCAGTAGTGGTCAAGGTCCCAGCAGAAGCAGCAGCCTGCAGACAGGACCCAGAAGGAAAGGCAGTGCCCCACCTCACACCCATTCGGATGGCTACCATTAAAAAAATAAAAAACGAAGAAACACGTAAAATAACAAGTGCCAGCAGGGATGTGGAGAGATGAACCCCGTGCACTACTGGTGGGAATAAAAATGATACAACCACCGTGAAAAACAGGATGGCGTTTCCCAGAGAAATTTAAAGTGGAATTATCATATGATCCAGCAAGTCCTCCTCTAGGTATATGCCCAAAAGAACTGAACACAGCAGGATCTTGAACAGATATTTGTAGACCCCTGTTCATATAAGAGCGTTAGTCACAGTAGCCAAAAGTGGAAGCAGCCTAACAGAAGCAGCCTTCTGTTCATTGACAGAAAAATGGATAAACAAAATGTATATTTTTTTATATAAACATACAGTGGACTATTATTCAGTCTTAAATAGGAAAGAAACTGGATGGAAGTGGATGATCCTTGAAGACATCATGCTAAGTGAACCAGCCAGTCACAAAAAGACATACGCTGTGTGATTCCACTCATATGAGGGACCTAGAATAATCCAATTCATAGAGACAGAAAGTAGACAGTGGCTGCCTGGGCCTGGGGTTGGCAGGGGGCGGGAGGAGTGGAGCTGATACCTGATGGGTACAAATTTTCCGTCTGGGATGCTGTAAGAGTTCTGGAGATGGATGGCAGCCACGGTTGCACCAATATGAATACACTTAACGCTCCTGAACTGTACACTTACAAGGTTCAGCTGGTAAATTTTATTTCATTTCCATTTCACCACAATTAAAAAAAAAAGAAAGAAAGAAAGAAAGAAATGAAATGAAGGGACCGTAACGGGAGTATAAGCATTAGGGAGACCCTTGCAAGGGGAGCCACTCAGGAAGAGTGGGAGCCATCCTGCCCACAGTCCCAGGGGACAAGGGGAGCAGTGAGAGCCCAAGCCCAGGGGAGGGGCCGTCCTTAGAGAGGACTGCAGCATTGCCAAGACCCCACACCACACCAGGGGCAGGGGTGGGGGAGAAATGCCAGGGAATCTGGCTCCTCCCCGCATATCCCACTGGTCACACCCAAGGGCAAGTCAGAGAGTTCAGGACCCCCAGGCGCTGCAGGCTCTGGGGGACTGTGCTCTCTTGAGGTGGCTCTGGGATGAGCTCAAGCAGCAGACAGACAGCCTTGTAGCTCCTGAGCTCATGGCTCTTAACAGTCTCGTGATGGAATAGGCAACAAAGAAGTCACCTTAATTTTAGAGTATGCTCCATACCACAAAGAAAATAAACCAAACACAGTGAGAGAAAGCAGGGAGGGGACACCCCCTGAAATGTCAGGGAAGACCTCTCTGCAAAAATGGCACATCAGAACCTTAAACCCTGTATCAGGCAACGTTCTCCAGCGTGCCAGAGCCAGCAGGATGTGTAGATACAGAAAGAGACTGATCTTAAAGAACTGGCTCATGCAGTTATGGGGGCTGGCACGTCTGACATCTGCCGAGCAGACTGCACACCAGAGGGACCTAGGGCAGAATTCTCCCTTCCTCTGGGGAGCTCAGTCTCTGAGATTTGGCCCATCCACATTATGGGGGGGGGTGCAATCTGCTTTACTCAAAGCCCGTTGATTTGAATGTTAATCACATCTACAAAATACTTTCATAGCCACAGCTAGGTGTGTTTGAGCAAACACTGGCCACTAGGGCCCAGCCAGGCTGACACATAAAATCAACCGTCACGGACACCATTACCCATCTGGACCAGCATGCTGTTCTCACATGGAGCCACTAAATTGGATATCCCATTCATACCCCGCACGTGTTTCTTTTGCAGAGAAAAAAAAAATCCCACTTTGCAATTGCATCTGGTCAATAGGAAGTTCTAGTTTTGTGGGAAGAGGACTGCTGTTCCAGAATCGTCCCACGGAGGCACCCACTGGCTGACCAGGGACAGCCCTCCCAGCTGGCAGATAATGCAGGGTAATAAGAAGTGCACAGACGGGTTCAGCGACTCCTCGAGCATCGGCAGCGTGCTGGACGATGCCGACAGGGAGGTTAGCAGCCTCACAGACCGGGCCTTCCGGAGCTTGTGCATCTCAGAGGACACATCCTTCAACGACTCTGACCTGACCCTGTCCCCGGACATCACCCGCCAGGTGCTGGGGACTTTTCACCAGGGAACAGTAAGCCACACCCACAGGAAAAGCAGCATCTGGAGCCAGTTACCGTCGCAAGGCACCGAGCATGCGGGCTGGGCGGCCACGTTCCAACAGCTACCCAAGTACGTTCAAGGGGAGGAGAAGTACCCCAAGAGCAGCCCCCCACTGACACCAGCCCAGAGGAGACTGGAAGTGCCCCTTTCCGGCCTGAGGAGCAGCAGCAAGCCGGCTTCGAAAGTGTCATCACTAATTAAATCTTTTGACAGGACTGAGAGCCAACGTTGTGACAGCAGGCCTCCGACCAGTAAGCCCCCAGCTCTCAAAAATCCCCCTAAATTTGCTCCTCTTCCAGAAAGTGGTGTCAACTTCTGCTTCGATTCTGCATTTCTGACCGTCAGGAGGGTGCCTGCTGAAGTCTCTAGCGCCCATCAGATTAGCCACCAGTCTGGAAGGAAGCACGGAGAGCAGGAGTCCCCTAAGAATCCCGAAATGGCCTGTCATGGCTCCAGCAGCTTCCTCCCAACACCCGATAACGCAGCCAGCTCGTTTGAGTCCAAGTTCCCATCCCCGCCCCACAAGCCAGCCCAGGGTGAGCCCGGAAGAGGTAAGGAGTGGCCCCGCAAGGGAACCTTTCTTCATAGTGAAAACAGTGCTTTTGAGTCATGGAACGCCCACCAACCGAGGCTGCCCGAGAGAAAGGAGGTCGCTGACCCTGTCCCAGAAAGCAAAACTCCCAAGCATTACGAGGATGCACCCATGTTAAGAGAGCCCCCTGCCCCTGAACACAGAGTCTCCCCCTGCCAAGCCCGGGCCAGCTGCAGCCAGGAGGAGAAGAGGTTGGCAGCAGCGGCTCTCACCACGTCTGGACCCTGGGGAGCTAGGGATCCAGGAGCCCAGGCATTCGCTGTGGAGGGAAAAGCTTCAAGCTCACAGCCTGACCCTCAGATGAAGCCGACCCAGGCCCCATGGAGGAAACCAAAGCCTGGCAAAGGAAGGAAAGAAAGTCTACCAGATGCTTCGGAAGAGAAGAAGCAGGCCACCAGAAGGGGCCCAGCCTTGTATACAAAACACAATCCCCAGGATCAATTTCCAGAAAACGAGGCTCTTGACCTGCCCATGGACCCCAACGAGCATTATAGTCCTCCTTTTAACATCAGTAAGCTTCTGACACCCGTCATCCCCACCAAGCATGTCCTGGAGCCATCCGACAGCCAGCCGGTGGAGATGACCCCATCACCCCCAGGACAGCTGAATGGGTACCAAGAAAAGGAGCCCAGTGAAGGTCAGTCTAGGGACAGCTACAGATCCAAAGCCCCCAGCCTGCTGTTCAACCTCAAGGACGTGCGGAAGCGTGTGAAGAGCACGTACAGCCCCTCACCACTCCTGAAGGGCCTTGAGGAGAAAACCAGAGGCAAGCAAGAACCCGTGAGCAATGGCGTCCTCCTTCCCAATGGGCTGGAGGAGAGCCCTTCAAATGAGCTTCCTAAGGAGAGACCAGCTGATGGCTCTTCTGGGTCGCACATGAGTACCCAGAAGGACTCTGACGCTGACCCCGGTGCACCCTCTTCAGAGACCTGTCTAACTCTTAGCTCACCCCCAGCTACCACCCAAGCCCCTTTCTGCATCAACGGGGAGGGAGCTAACAGAAACAGCTACGAGAAAGACGATGGAGACCCAGAGATGGGTATCATCAGGTCGGGCAAGAATCCAGACGCCGGCAAACCCTGCCCCAGGAAGCGTCTGTCCCTGAGGCTTTGCAGCAGAGAGCCTGAGGCAGGGAAGGCTGCAGAGAAACCTAAGACCCCCAGCCTTGAGAAGGGGTTCCTGAGATCCGTGTCTCAAGAGACAGAACCTGAGAGAGACGCAGGACTGCAGAATTCCAACTTGAACCAGAAATTCTCCCCAGGGCCCCTCTCTCCCGAAGAAGAAGATGTGTTTTACAGTGACACCCAATCAGATTTCATGCCAGGCTGCAAAAGTAAGGCCAAGTTCAGCACCAGCTCTTCAGACCAGTCCTTTGCCTCATTTGAGGATCAGCAGAAAACGTGGTTCACCGAGAGCCAGCAGGAAGACAGGAGGAATGACGGAAGTGCAGGAGACAGTCGGAAGGACGAGAAGGAGAAAGCGATGGGGAGCGATGAGCTCCAGCACGGTGCCCTGAGTAATGCGCCCGCGTGTGTGCAGGAGCACAGCAAGGGGGAATCATTGCAAGGAGAAGGGGAAGGTTTGTCTGGATGTAGACCCAGGGGAGCATCGGGAGAGGAGGCTAACTTCAGAGGTACTTGGATGGGGGGAAGTAAGGATACAGCCAAAGAATTTACCCCCTCGCCATCTTCCACTTCAAACAAGCACATACTGTTTGCGATTAAAGACAACACCCTCAGGGCCACCCCTGTGATAAAACCCATCATGCTGCCCCTCCTGAGGACCATGTCATCAGAGGACTCACTGGGTGGCAGCCACAAAGAGGATGACTTGCCAAAGCCAGGCTGGGGAGAAGAGGCTGGTCTTGGTGGCTCTGAGAGCAAGGAAATGGCCAACATCCCAACCCCCGCTAGCATGCAGGACACACACTCGAAGCACACAGCCTGGGAGGGCACGGAGCACCATGGGCGAGTGCCCAGCATGGCCCAGATGGAGATTTCCCAGCCAGTCCCAACCAGAATTGGCCCATCTCCTCCACTCATGGGAGAGGGTGAAGGGCTGAAGCCACCCCCAGAGGATGCACGTCACCTTGTGGCAAACAAAGGCAAGAACAGTTCCACGGACCAGGGGAAGCTGGATGCTCCAAGGGGTATCCCCACCATCGCTTTGCCCCAAGGCGAGGCAGAAGACCAGCAACCCCCACAGCAGCTGGGAATGTGTTGGGAAGAACACACACAAGACTTCAAAAGTCACTTATTGTCTACACCCAGAGCAGGGCCCCCAGGGAGAAGACTGGTGCCCGGGGAGATGGCTGTTTCTCCTAATGCCAGCTCCCTGGATGAGAGCAACGCGTGCTCTCCTGCCGCCAGCAGCATCTGGGATGATGCTTCCCAGGCCCCCACTGAGCCGGGCCCGCTGCCAGGGCTGTCTCCTCACCCTAGTCCCTGGGCCGGCCTCTACCCGGCCAGGGTCGCCCGGCGGGAGGACCTGACACACGCCCTCACGTGGGAGGCTGGCTCGGACCCCCAACTTGAGCCATCCGCGGAAGACCTCAGGACCCTTTCTCCAAGAGGTTCAGTGCTGGACATGGCCAGCAGCTCTGCAGGCCTCCCTGAGAAACAAGAGCCCCCTGCTCCACTCGAGAGGGCGGTCGGCAAGCCACCGGCGGTCCCACCCAAAACAGAGAAGGCCCTGCGGCGGGCAAAAAAGCTGGCAAGCAAGAGGAGAAAGACCGACCAACTGCAAGAGAAGCATGGTGAACCCGATGAAGAAAAGCCCCTCCTGGAGGACTGGGAGCGCAGGCCACCATCGCCTGGAGAGAGGCCCCGACCCAGGTTCCCCGAGGTCCGTTCCGTCCCCCCTCCCACCCACCGCCACTCAGTGTCTGCCTTCTCAGAGCCACTCAGGAGGCAGCCTGGGGGGTCCCAGTCCCTTATGCCTCTGGTCCCTTACCCTGCCACCCAGAAGGTCCTCCAAGACCCCCAATCTGGAGAGTACTTTGTCTTCGACCTGCCACTCCAGGTGAAAATCAAGACCTTCTATGACCCAGAGACAGGCAAATATGTCAAGGTCCCCATCCCATCCTCTGAGGGGGGTTCCCCTGAGCCGCCCTCACCAAACACACCTGCTTCTCCCTACATGCTGTATCCCCACTTCCGGGCCCTGCCATTGATGCCGCTGCGCTGCTCCTCTCAGCTCTCCGCCCCCACCTTCTTCAGGCAGGGCCCACACACCCCCGAGGTGGCCGGCCCGGGGTCCCAGAGGGCCCGTGAGGCTGGCATGCCAATGGCACCTCCCCGGCGCTCAGGGGAGGAGGGGGGAGATGCTCCGCGCCTGGGCATCATCTCCACCAATGACCTAGAGGACTTCGCCACAGAAGGCATTTCTTGAGAATTACAGCAGAATAACTCCCCCTCAAATAAACCCAGAAGAACTTATTTCCCCTTTCCCCCAAATGATCAGTCACTTATACACACACACACACACACACACACACACACACACACACACACAGACATCAACATGTACTTAGCCATGTGGGATCCCTAAAGTCTCAAAGGAAATGGGGATTGAGAAAACCCCACCTGAGGGGCTTCCTGGGGCTCTCCTCCCTGGGAGCGTGCTGTTTGCATAACCCTTCCTGGATCCTGGATCTGCTCCCCTTCCCCCTTTCTTATCCCCTCCCTTCCTCCCTGTCCTCCTCTGGCCATGCCATGGGAGTGAGTCCCGCCTGGTTCCTAATGGCCACTCTGCTCAGGCACCCCACCTACTTCTTCTCAAGGGCCAACTCCTGCAGTGAGCCTATTCCCAAGCCCCCAGAAATGCTGCACTGCACTGAGCCCAGCCTGCTGGGCAAGCAGACCACCCGGCACAGCCCCTCCAGGTCCAGCATGGCACAGAGAAGCACCTCCACCCTCGCTCCCATGCTCTAACCATTTCCAGCTCACTTCAGGCAGAAATGGCTAAGGACTGCCCCAAGGCAACTCTGCAGAAATGCTGATTTGGATAGAATGGGTTTTCTTTACTGAGGAAGATTTCCTCTGAAGGCTATTTTCTGATAAAGAAAAGGCTACCTTTTAAAAAGTGAAACAAGCTTGCAGATGTGGTTCTGTCCTGGACAGGTCTTCCATCAGTGGGCAGTGGCGGGTCTCCACGGGTGAGTAAAGGGCTTTGTGCTGTCCAGGCCTTCCATCACCACCGGCCACACAGGGGCATCACTCTGAACGGAGTAACCTCGACACCTGCTGCTGTCCTGGCACTCCTCCTAGAGCCTTCGGCACTGTCCCTGCCTTGGCGGATTGGGGCTCTCCATTCACATCAGGGGACAAAGAGGACGGAGACCCAAGCTCACCATCGTGGCTAGCCCAGAGAACTGAGTCAGGTCCCAGGGGTCCCAATTTCATGACTGTTAACCTATGCCCCGTGCTCAAAGGGAAATTGTATTTTCCCAACTCCCAGGCCTTCGGGGATGTGGAGGGAATGTCTAATTCAGGTCAAGGGAGCAAAATGCAATAACCATCTCTGCACCTCTAAGAACAGAGGAGTCCATGAGCACATGCACACTGTGGGCAACTGTGCTAGGAAGGAAAGCAGGCTGCTTTCAAGGGCTTCCACCCAGGGCACCCACTGAAGCGACTTAATTCTTGTGCTATGGGAAAGACGGGGGCAAACACATCTCCCTCCTTGTTTGGAAAGGGCAGCTGTCGCAGCAGCTGCTGGGACTGTGCTGCCCACATGCCCAGGGACCCCACAAACTGCATCAGCCTTGTTCTTTTGGCGAAGATGCTATTTCCAGGCTGGAAAGATGGGAAGGCACAGAACTCACCAAGTCCCAGACTCGCACCCATATGAGGGCTCTATCTTAGTCTTGGTCATGATTTAGATTCAGGATTGTCTACCTATTCGTTTGCCCAACAAGCACAGCCTCACCTTAATTTCTTTAGGACAATACTCCACAAATCCTCTGGCTGGACACCGTGGTGAGACAACCAGACAAAGAGCCAGGAACACAGGCCAGCAACCATTCTAAGAGTCCAGTTCCCACGAGTCACGCATTAGGCTGCCAGTGGGAAGAATGATCTGTGATCTTGGCTCTCCCACCATGGCTAAGCAGCTTCTCACCTTGCTTTCATCTTACTAAAGATGAAGCGAAACAGTTAGGAGAACCAGATAGGAAAAGGGATAGCTCATTTAAAATTCTCAGGGCCCAGGAAAAGATTTGCCTAACAAAAATAGAAACCCTCTGTTAAATGAAATAATAATAATAGTAATAATAACGATGTCCCCACAAAGAAAAATATACTTTCCTTAAGGGGAGCTTATATATCAGAAGCAGTCATCTTCTGTCTTAGAAACAATATACGCTGAACTATTGATCGAGCTAAAAGCATCAAGGTAGATATTTGGAGATCAAGGTCAACTTCTTTGTGAATGCACAAAAGAAAGAGGGCGGCTGGTAGCACGCAGCTTGCACCCAGAGAGCAGGGATTCCTCGGACACCTGGCTCCCCAGCAGGTCAGCCTGAAGGAAGGCCCCCATCAGTTACAGCAAGGTGCCTGTGCTCCTAGGAAGCAGAAAATGCTTCAAGGGGACAAAACCAATGAAGACTAACTTACCTGCAAATAATGTTCTCCTCTTTCCTTCCTCCCTTCCTCCCTCTTTTCCTCTCTCTTTTCCTCTCTTCCTCCTTTTCTCTCCTTTTCCCTATCTCTTTCTGTTTTCCTCTGTTCCTCCTATTACAAACATTTTCAGAGTTCCCGCTCTGCGCTGGGCACCTCACTGGGTACTAAAGATATGCCATGATAATTAGATCTGGTCTCCACACCCAAAGAATTAAAATCTAACAGAGAAGAAAAACAATTATAGTCCCATGTGGTAAGTAATTTAATAGCATTATCTAAGGAGCACCTGACTCAGCCCGGGAAGAAAAGGGGCTTCCTACAGGAGACGGCACCTAAGCTGAGTTAGGAAACACCAAGTAGTACATCAGCTTATGAAGAAACCAGAAATTCCCCAGCTTTAATCTAGCTATCAAACAAAGATGACGTTTGTGAAATACTAATAGATTGGTCTTACCACATCAAAGTATAATGGCTTAACTAATTTTTAATTACCATTTTTAATCAGCACCAGAATGAAACCAGTGTAGCCTCAAAGGATAGACCTTTATTGATATGTCCCTTCAGCTTCTGAATTAATATTTCACTCCTCCAAGTTACCCCCCCCACCGAAAAAAAAACATTATTTCTACTGTTGCGTTTAATAGGACAGTGGTGAGAACTGTGAAAACATATTATTTGTGGAAATTGTGGGTCAAAGCCATGCCTGTATCTTCTATTGAGTGCACTAGCCCTTCTATGAGTTATGGCCCTTCTAAGTGTTTCCTGGGGAAAGTACATTAATGTACCTCAAGGGTACAATCAAAGGTCCTGGTGCTACTTGGTGGAAAGTGACCAAGAGCTCATGGCAATCCACATGCTATGTACCAGCCTGGGAACCGGGAGGTCTGAGACTGGCCTCCACCCTCACAGCAAACCTCTGAGAGGTATCCTCGTTCGCAAAGGCACTGAGATGTTAAGTAACTTCTCACAGTCACACAGTCACTGAGTGAAAGGGCCATGCCAAGAGCTCAGGCAGCTCTCACTCTCACTCAGCCGACACCCTCAATGCCACCCTCATGCTTCTTGAAATGTGGTCAATGGATCAGCCTCCACATCACCAGGGAGCTTGTTAGAAACCTAGATCTCTCATTCATTCACATGTGCAGTAAACTTGGAGAAGTGCTGAGAGCCTCTGGCCTGGAAGGGAGAAGATTCCAGGAGCCAAACCCACAGGAAGAGAGGCTTACATGTGGGGCTGGGAGAGAGGCAGGGAGGCTGAGTCACACCCACTACGAGAAGGACGTGCCTAATTACTTCCCAGCTGTGTCCACCTGGCTAATGCAGCCTGGGGAGCACGAAGCTTCCCATTACTGGAAATGCCCTAGAAACTAGTGACCCCTTTTCTTTCTTCTTTTTTTTTTTTAAAGATTTTATTTATTTATTTATTTGACAGAGAGAGAGATCACAAGTAGGCAGAGAGAGAGGGGGAAGCAGGTTCCTTGCTGAGCAGAGAGCCCGATGTGGGCCTCGATCCCAGGACTCTGAGATCATGACCTGAGTCGAAGGCAGAGGCTTAACCCATTGAGCCACCCAGGCGCCCTAGTGACCCCTTTTCTAAGACAGGGATGGATTCAACGTGTCCTAACTACATCTCTGAGACCCCAGGCTGCACATGAGGTCCTGTATGACAATGCTGTGGGTCCAAAGTCTAAATGGGCAGGGCCACAGGAGTGAAATATATGAATGAAACATTTGCAATTGAAAGCGGAGCTGGAGGCAAAACCCAAATTGTATGCAGGTGGAAAGCATTTGGGTCCAGATAACAATGTGACGTTAGGCGCAATTGTCTTATGTGAGCCTTCTATATTATTCAGATATAAAGTCCAAGGTAAGCAGAGAGGGCTCCAGACCGTGTCTCCAGAGCCTGTCACCACTTGCTTATGTGTCCTTAGTGTCACCCCAGCAGGACATCTGAGCAGATGGCTCCACCTTTGAGTGGGACTCTGTGTAGACCCAGAACTGCAGCTGATTCTGGAGGATTCTCTCCCTTACCCGCTGGCTCTCAGACAGGAAGCCCACGCCTGCCTGGGCTTGGCCATCACCTGCACTCTTGGTAACAGGACAGCCCTGGCTCCACTTCCCGTTTACCTCATCAGCCTCCGCAAGTGTGGGAAAAGGGCAGCTGTAAATGGAAAAGATTCCCAGAGAACTCGGGGACACCCAGATGCATCAATACCATCCTAAGCAAGTTCCCATTTAAATGGCCCAGCACTGGCTGGGCCCCGAGTTCCCACCAGCAGAGTCACTTCAGTAGAGGGAAATGAGGAGGAAGGGCCCATCTGGGTTTGCCCATGGGCAGGCACTCCTTCTCCAGGTGGGAAGCTGTGGACAAACAAAGGCATAGCCAGGTTCTAGAACAGTCCAGCACAGCCACCAGACCTGCCAGAGCCAGGCCCAGGCGTTCCCTGAAACTCTGAAAGGAGCCCATGGATTTCCTCAGAAGAGAGGAACTAGGGCTCCCTTCCAAGGGGGCAGAGCCAGTGCTCCCAACACACAAGAAGATAATGGGGGATTAAGGAGCTATGCGCATCATCATCACCAAGCAAAGCCAGTCTTGGCTGTGTTCATCATTCATCCAAATGCAGTTTTGTTTTTAAGTCCTCTCACTGTCCTAGCACTGTTCTCCAGCTCAGCTTATTCTGGGCACTGCCACGCTGACACCATTTTCCAGGTCCTTCCATGCCATCAATTCTCCTCCTGGGTCCCAGCCCTGACCTCCATCTCTCAGTTCCATCCTTCCCAAGCTCAGAAGTGTGCCTTGCTTTGTTTAGAGCCCTCTCATCCCCCTTCATCATAATGCATTGAGTGACATTGTGAGTGTCTGCCATCCTATCTTCTATG